TCCTCACAAGACATAATAAACTCAATTTTGAAAAGTGTCAGAAAGACCATTTATTTATTTGGACGTTCCCCTTGACGGTGTACAGATTCATTTTGAGGATGGATAAAGGTGCAACTGCTAAATCATCATCTGCTGTGTTCACCTCAAATGCTGCTAAAGGATGGATGAAGAAGAGGGATGGAGCTTTACAAGCTGCAAAATGGAATGCTTCTTTAGCTTCTAAAATCAAAACTAAATTAATAAGTAAGTCCTGTTAAAATAAAACTGAAGCTACATACTGTACTTAGAATGTATGTATGGCTTCAAAAGGAATAGTAATTGTGTTCAACATGATTAGCTGAAATTCTGCCTGTTACAACCATTCTGTAACAGATAAGTATAGGTAGGTTTTCATAAAGACAGTGGGAATATATATTTTTAATATAAAGCCTTTTTCTTTATGTTGTCAAAACTCACATTTATTATGAGAATGCTTGAACGTTTTAATTTGTAAAATTTATATATTTTTTTAATATTTGTGAACATTTTTATGCCTCTGAAACCATCAATTTTTAAATGTTTTCTTAAAATAACCTTATTTTTAAAAATCCAGACTAGAGCAGAATCGATGCATGAAATAAACTTGAAACAGACAGAGTAGTCATCAGAATGACAGGTACATAAACTGTTTTATATTGGAAAGTGTTAGGCTTTGCTGCTGTGGCACCAGAACCTACAGATAAAATGTTGTCATATAGTGATAGTTCATACAGAGAGGGCCTGGAATTGAAGCTGTTGAAAATAATATTATTTTGTCTCCTTTAGACAACTCATCTATGTTTAAAGTATCTTTACAACAAAATAACAAAGCATTAGCTGTGGCTTTGAGTGTTGAAAAAGAGAATTCTCGCAAGCTAAAGAATGAGAAGATTTTTCTTCAGAAGGAAGTAGAAAAACTGCAGCTTCATAATATCTCGCTTCGTCAGAAACTAACCTGTTTGGTATGCTGCAAATAATATTATTTAAACTTAGAGCAGCTAAACTAAGCTTTTATCTTTGTTTGAAACTTAATGTTACTTCTTAAAGTGGTGGCTTAAAATACTTGTCTCAGATTTATGAAGTTATATCACCTGACAGCATAAAATTTACATTTAATTTTATTTTTGTAGCTTTTTTTGAACTATTTTATCTATCAGTGTGTATATCTATAGCTATTTTAGTCCCAGGTTCACCTTTATATTTATAGGTATTGAGATGAGTTTGTGCTCAATTAAGTAAAAAAAATTGCAGCATAGATTCACCTTTTATCTCCTGTCTCTTCTTAACACTTAAAATATATTTTTTCTATTATATGCAGAATAAAACTCTTATTGGAATAGACACATTTTTGAATGAAAACCTCTTAACTGCAATAGAAATAAGCAGTCCTTCTGGGGTAAGATGCATTTTCAACTTTACTATATTGAATTTATCTTCCAGGGTAAGATTTTCAAAGCATCAAATTGAGTGCAATGTTGAAATACTATTTGTGTTGTAAAACATTTACCCCAATTCCTTAAAACTTGGGATTAAATGAGTATATTACAATATATTTAATTTTACTGTACTGAAAATTTAGGATTTAATCTGGTTTCCAAAGTATCTAAAAGCTAAATATCAGTTAGCCTGAAAGAAGAATCATGTGGTAACAAAAAAAAAGCTTAGCACTTCAGTATGTAGAGAGCAAGATACCTGCCTTCCTTGCCTAGTGCTGCAATAAATGTCTTACCTCTGGAAACTTAACCAGAAAACTTAGTCCATGTTAGTCCTTGTGTCATGGAAAAAAATACAATTATTTTTTAAAAAAGGAAAATACTGTGTTGTCTGTTCTCAACTTGCTTAGTGTTGCTCCGTGCTTCTATATGTATAATGTAGTTTGTAGGAGTTATAGCTACATTTAGAAAGTCTGTACATTCCTTCGGGATAAAAGTAGGTTATGTATTTTGATGAATTTTGTAACAAAATATTTTGCTTTAAAATTATTGCCTGTGTTTGAATATCATGTATCTTCTATCAGTGCATGTATCTTTTTCCCATTCATTTTGTGGGGTTTTTTTTCCCCTGTGGATATTTCCAATGCTTAAAACATAAGAGAATATTTAACTATTTGTATTTGCCTGCTCTTTTTCTTTTGAAAGGACCTCCAGAGTTCCTTTCCGGTGTCAGCTGGCCCAAGCAGCCCTGCTGGTGACAAGCTCAGGAGTGCACGTCGGTCAGCTCGGTAGGTGCTTGTGTGAAATGCCAAGGTGCTTGGTGTCTGTGGCCTTCTCTTACAGCTGATCTTTGCACCTTGTCCAGGGTAGTTTTGTGGTAATGAGAAACCATTTCCTATTTAATCCAGAAATGACCTGTTTGCAGCTCAGAATTTAGAGAGAGAGCGATAGATAAGACTTGTGTTTGAGTAACTCACTGCTTGTGTCATGTGATCTCACCAGCCCAGAGCAGGATTTGCTATCATCAAAAATACATTTGCCCCAAGACAGAGCACAATTTCGTACTTGAGTTCTTGTTTTCAGCTATTATACATTGTTAAGAGAACATTTTGAGCACTTGAATGTCATGATGGAAAATGTAATAAAAATCTTCACAGTAAAATTTTCTCTTTTCAGATCAGCAGAATTGCCAGCAGAGCTTCCTTTCATTGCAACAGCTAATGCAAAGCAGCAAGGTAGCCCTTCTCTGGGTGAAGCATCAAATTCTTACAAGTGTACCACTAATTTGACAGAGGAAGTGCATTCAGATCAAGTCAAGTTTGCATCACTCTTGTCTCCTGGTACAAATAATCAAAAGTTCATTGAAACAGAACCAATGGTTGGCAAAAATAGATTTTTGAAAGGTATGATGTATTTCTGTGAAAGTAATTTATTTTTTACACTCTCTGAGAATTAGTATTTAATAATTCATTACTCAATGTGCAATACAGAAGGTATAGTAATATTCATAAACTGTAATAAACTAGTGAAAAATAAATGCTCATCCATAAGTATAGGTGTCCTGATAATCATTTATAGAATAATACTTGTTGAAATTACATAGCTAAGATAACCAAATAATAGCTCAAATATTAATAGAAAAATAGGTTTATTTATGTCCAATTTCAAAAGTCCAACTTCAGTAAATTATGAAATTAGCTCCAGTTTACTAAATTTTTAAGGACCAACCATAGAATGTGTGTATTTAGTTTAAAAATAAAAAGTATAATTTTCCATACTTCTGGTTCAGCCTTCAGTAGTTTTATGCAGATGACTACACCCCATTCTTCTTGTCCCCAAGCTGCTGAAATTTTTCTCTTTGCAGAAAATCAACTGTGTGCAGAATTAAGTTGCAATAGTGCCTTCCTAACTCATGGAAAAAATACACAATTCTTAGAACAGTCTGAGGAGCCTACAGAACAATATCATGGTAGTTTATTGCCATCCTATGAAAATGTGACTGAAAGAAAGAAAAATGCAGTACTTTGTAAGTCAAAAACTCAACCTAATATTTTCATCAAAAACCTAAAGGATTTTGATAAAAAATGTAGGCCATTGAATCTGTCTCATCATACCATCAACAGTAGCAGGAATGCCAATGATAGGAATTTGCAGGAAGGTTCAAGTGACTTGTCTTGCCTTATTCTTTCACCTCTTAAATTTAACAGTGAAAGTAAGACAGATTTTAACAAGCTGCTTTTTACTGACAAGATGAAGCCTGAAGAAACTATCTATGATGCTGATATGGAGTTGACTGCTAGTGATGCAAGTGAACTACTCACAGTTACAGCAAAAGGCAATTATAAATTGCAGCAAAATAAAGTTAATAATGCCAGTTCTGACAAAATACTACCAAATTTCAGAAAAGTAAAATATTCTAAGAAGGATAAAGAAAAAATTAAAAGCAAGACTGAAGTCCATTCAAATCTGCATGTAGAAGAAATGCTCTCTAGGGCTGAGAATAGTGAAACTTCAGAAACTACTGATTCACAAACTCAGCTATTCCAGAATCAGACAGAACAGCTACCTACAGGAAATTCTGTGGAGCAACAGAATAGAACAAGTAAAGCTAAGGATTCCAGGGGGACATACCACGTTAATGTAATGAATCCAAGAAAACAAGAGACATATAAAGGAACATTCTCAGAAATGTTTGGAGAAGTGGAAGGCAGAATACAAAAAACAGACTCATGCACAACTGTTAACAAGATCCAACCAGAAGTTTATTGTGCTGAAAATTTACCATTCCAAGATAACATTTCTGATGTATTGGCTTTACAGGAGGGCTTTCAGAATACAAATGAGAAAGATAACAAACCAACAATAAAGAGGAAGACTTCTCAAAACCTTTCCAAAGCAAACACAGAAAAATCCTATAGAGAGGAAAATGGCCAGTATGGAGAATATATTTCAAAAAAATCTCAAACTGAGATAAACCAATGTGACAACAGCAAGAGAAAACTAGACCAGAAGAATATTATACAGCAAAAAAACAACAGAAAAAGTAGTCACAGACAAGGTAGAGAAGCTGAAAATGACAGTCCTCATAAAGTTAGTCAGAAAGTAGACCAAAAGAGCAGCCATTTTTCACCAGGCAGGTTGAAGCGTACATTGGCAAAGGCCAGCCGGAAAGCATGTGTGATACCAAAGGAAAATCTTACACGGTTCTCAGTTTGTAAAAATGAAGAATTAAAACACAAGGATTCATTGCTTGCAGAGGCTGGAAAGAAAGCCACTGTAACTCAGCAAATGCAGGTAGCTTTAGTTACTCAGAACGGTGTAGCTCTGAATACACCACAAGCTAAAGAACAGGTTGATGATGATGCTAACAGGTTAAAGAAGGTAGATTCCTCAGCAGTGGCAAGTAAACCCTCCCACATAAGTAATTTTCCTGATAAGCACGTAAAGCAGAAACAGAGGTTTAGTTCTGATATTACTGAGACCAGACCAGAAAAAAGTTATTTCAGGCATATTGGTCAGGGAGGTCAGAATATTTTGGATGACCAGGAAGCCCCTCATGAAATGAATTCCTTTGTGAGTAACTTGAAGCCTGTGATTGAGGTTGAATGCTGTAAGAATATGCCATTTAAGGCAGATAGTTCTTCCCAGGAAGGTCTTCTCGATATGGAGCTCCCAGCTCTTGATAACCACAATGCTTCCATCAACTTCTCTAAACTGAAAAGCTGTGAAATCCACAGGCAAAAGGATCGTAATGAAGCACCGGATGCTGAAAAAACAGAACAAAATATGGATCATATTTCTAAACAGAGTAACAAAAATACTCTGACACCTTGTCATGGTAAGTGTGTGGGCTAGAAAAAGCAAGGCATTTTGAATTAGGTGGTGCCTGAAATAGTGGTAACATGTTTTCTCTTAATTCTGTCCTCTCATTGCTTGTTAAGAGCAGATAAAATAGGAGTGGAAAAGGGCAAGAACGAAAATCACCAAAATCTTCTATATCATGTATCAGTTACAATATCTTTTTAAATTGTGGTGACCAATATCCTTGTTACATTTCAATATATCCCAAGATGATATTTAGTAGAGCAGATATGAGTAGTGTACATTCTTGAGAAGCAATTTTAGTTAAAGCATGTATTCCTTTTTTGAAGAATTCCATTATATTCAAAAAGATGGGGAAAGAAAGATAAAATAGCTTGAGCTTTTATCCAAGAGAAACAAGACAGGGCTACACTGTTCCCTTCTTAAATGGAAAATATACCTGGACTTAAAATTTCATTTTTGTTTCTTTAGAAACACTGCAACTCAACAGGAATTCCCATATCTAAAATATGTTGAGTAGATTTTTCTATAACTTGCCTATGGGCCAGCTTTGATGTGACAGTCTTTTTTAAAGTAAGATATATTAAGAACATAAGAAAACTTTAATGTAGTCTGGAAGATAGGTTTAAATTCTTCTATAATAAATACAATTATTATAATGCAATGTAGTGGAGTTAATAAAATGGAGTTATGCTGAGTACCTTTAGTGTAGGAGCAGTAATCAATGTGGCTGAATTACGAAACACATATCAAAAATAATTACTAATTGAAGTTTACATAATGATTCACAAAATATTTAAAATGAAGCATGTAAACTGCTGTATTTACAGGGAGAAAAGCTTTCCAAGAACTGACAAATACTAGTATACAATTTCACACTTCTGTACCTAAATCCCCCCAAACTTCAGAAGATTCAGCAGCACCACTGAGACGAGGCAGACCCACTGTTTGCTACAAGGAACCCAGTCTTCAGAGGTAGGTACACATAAACTGGGGCTTTTGTTCTTGTCTTTTGCGTACATAACTACCCCCAGTAAACATCAGTTATTAAACCCCTGAATAAACAGTTGAGCTCTCACAAGTCTCTTTTGCAAAGATGCTTCAGTGTTGATATAAGGCTTCTCTAGTTGGTGTGGCAGAATTTCCAAGTACTAAAGTAAGACAACAATAGTTTTCAAATCCTAAAATATAGTTTGGACTAATAGAAAATAATAGTGAATCGTAATGGTTATCATGATATAATCCCCTTTAGAGATGAATAATTATGAATGTTATACTTAAAGGTAAATTATACCATAATAATGTCCTTGTAATCTTGTCAAATAGAAAGGAAATTTATGTACTAATACTATATAATTCAGTCGTTTTAATTTAACTAGCTGTATGTAATATAAAAAATCATTTAAGATATATTAATTTGATAGTTGGTTATATTGGATATATTATTTTATAATTATTTTGCCTCTTATTATTCTTGGTAAATTTAGTGGCACAGGATTTTATAGATTATTAAAAGACAAGACATAAATTGTGAAATAACTTCTGAAATTTAAAAGGGAATTTGAAACCCAAACTTCCATTAAAAAAACTAATATATTTGCCCTTACATAAAGGTCCTAAATATAAATGGACCTTTAGGTTCATTACTTCTGAAAATATTCTGTGGGATTTTTGCCAGAAAGTTGTTGAGGTTTTTCCATTTGGTTTGGATTTTTTAAGTATAATATTAATTTAAGAAACAGTTCCACTGTGTTGAGTGTGTGTTAGTAGGATGTGTATTCATGAGGTAAAGACAGTAGAAAGGCTTCCCTGGAACAGGGAAGAGAGTGAAATGATTATACCAACTTACTTTATGACAAAGGTATAAAAAACCTTTTTTTCTGGCAATACTGTGGCAGGAGGGGATAAATGCACAAACTGAAAAAAAAAATAGAGCACTGTTCTCATACAACCTCAATATATTTTTTACTTCTGTGAATTAGCAAACAGTTGAAGCAGTGAGTGAGGAAAAGTAGGAGCTAAAAGTAATGGAGAAAGTCTTCACTTTACCACTGGCAATTCAGAAATATTTATGCCAGATCATTTATTAAAAAAATGGTATGGGATTAGAGTCACACTTTTATTTTATTAATTGACTTATATGTTAAAATTCTGCAGTATTGCATACTGATGCATTGCCACTCTTTTACCCCAAAATGATAAGTTCTGTACTTCTGAGAAATGGTAACTAATAACAGAAAAAAAATATTGATGCCAATCAACATTTTAGATGATTGTCTCATATTTATATTGTAGTTAAATTTACACTGAATGAGTGCCGTTAAGTGTTCGGTTTAAACAAGTTTTGAATTTTTTTAATAGAAATGTCACATCCTAATATGATAGAGGTCACATATTTCCAGCATTATTTTGGAAAGCAGTAGTGTCTTGCTTTTTCATACATACTTATTTTCCACGAGTTTAATTTCTTTAGTCTATCAAACTTTCATTAATGCTATTTACCATGTGAATTATTATGATCACATTACTATAGTTGCACGTGTGCTTGATGATATTCATACCTGATGTTTTTTACTTCTTTTCTTTACAGCAAATTAAGGAGAGGGGATCGATTTACAGATACACAATTCCTGAATTCCCCGGTCTACAAAGTAAAAAATAAAGGAAATTTTAAAAGCAAATCAAAATTTTATTGAGGAAGAGAGAATTGCCTTTATGGACAATACTTCTAAAATGGGTACAATTGTTTATGTGTATATGTAAATGTTTAGCAATATAGAGTCTTTGTTGTTCTTTGATTAGTAAGGTCTTCCACAGTGAAATTTTCTGGAGAAGAGCCTCTATAAAAGGGGCACAGAATACTTTATTGAGGAAGGCTTATACAGGTGAGGCTCACTCCTGTTTTGCCTTTCAGGTCAGTAATTTTTAATCTGTTCAAATGGTTTGCAGCACTTCTTAAATTGTTAGAAAATATATGTTTTAATGAGAAATAAAAATAAACCAGCTTTGGGAATTGTACTTGAGTTTTTCATGTTTGTTTTGAGTGGAACCAGTTCTCAGTGCTGGTTGGAACGGATACACGCATACCAAATATTTATGAATTTATTGAAATAGATGGAGATAGTCTTTTTTTGATAGTTGACTTTTGGATTTGACAGAATCACACAGAGATTTGAATAAGGAAATCTCATTGGGAAAAAAAAAAAGCACTGCAATAGGAATTCAGTAGTAAATAGGGTCTAGAGAAAGCAACACCTTGAGTTTCCAATTGAGACTGCCCATGTGACAAGTAATACAGTAATGTCATACCATTCAGATTTCAGGGTTTGGTACTGCTTCCCCTCTGCATTCCATAATGTGCTGTCAGCTGACAGTTTTCTGGTAGTACCTGATTTGTAGATGCTACCAGAGGCTCACTACCTGCACAGCTTTTACACATTACAATAGATAAGGTTCAGGTTAATCTTGCAACAGAGAGGCATTTTTGATGAGATAGAGATCTAAGTTAACTTATTTTGGTTATAGATGGTGGTTCTTCATGCATATGCAATAGATGTTACTAGTTTACACAGGCTTAAAAATTGATCAGACACATTAATGGAAGAAAAATCTATGAGGAATTACCAGAAACACCATTTCTGGCACAGGATGTTCCTGAATTGCAAATTTTTGAAGGCTGGAAGATGATTCTGGAGAAGCCTTACTATGCCTTTGACCAATTTTTGTACCTTTTCCAAGGACATTCCCTGGTGATGCTTTCAGAGACCAGTTCTTTGGTTAGTTTGACCTTTTGTCTAATACAGCATGTCTCTTTTTAAGAGGTGTAACTGATATGCTTAAATTTATAATGTATTCTTCAAAAGTATATTCTTAGAATACAATATATTCTTTTAAACATATTATAATACATTCTTTAAAACATTTTTTTAAATGTACTCTTTGTACTTCATTGTAGATTACATTGTAAGCTGGGAAGCTAATGGAGAAATTAGTCCTTTAACAGATGTTTAAGACAAGAAGGTGGTTGGGAGCAGATGGCATTGATTTGCAATCAGGAAATCAGGCTTTATGAACCTGATAGTCTTCTCCAACTAGCTTGGTGGGTGAGTGCAGAGCACTAAATGTTTGTCTCAATTATATTTGCTCTGATAACATTCCACAGACAAACTGACAAGGTATGGATTTGTTAAGGGCACAGTGAGGTGAGTTGAAAAGCTGGAAGGTTGTGATTAGTGCCAAATGGTCCAGCTGGAGGCAAAACATAGAGCTCGTTAGGGTTTCACACTGCTGCCAGCAGTGATGAACACGTTCACTAACAACCTGTATGAGCCAGTGCACCCTACACAAGTCTGCAGGTGATCAGAAACTGGAAGGAGTGGCTGAAATACCCCATGGTTCTGTCACCATTCAGAGGGATCTGGTCAGGCTGGAGAAATGTGCTGAGAGGAATCTCAAGAAGTTCAATAGGAGGAACCTACATCCTTCTCCTGTGAGTTGCCAGAATTTCAGCTGTGCATTTTGACAGAAAAGGACTGATACATATCAGAACACACTCCTGGATATAACTTTTAGGTGTGTCCATTCTACACATAAGTCTATAACCATAAACATTAAGAGGCGTAAATGTATTATTTACAAACACTTAAGTAATACCACAACTGTTTTCTACTGTGGTTATTTTGTTATGGTCTGTAGCCCTAAGGCAGCTTCCTCAAGATCCTGTAGGACTTTCCATGTATGAATTTAGAGTTAAATGTATCACTAGTGAGATAGTTTACAAAGGGGACATTTATTCCCTAAACAGAGAGTTGTCTAGCTGTGGTTACCAGTTGCAAAGATTATGTAGAGATTGTAAATATACAGCAGTAAGTAGAGCAAGGTGTTTTCATATAGAACCTTGCGGTACAAATAGAGTATTCAATCAGTATGACAATTCTTCCAATAAAAAACTTACCTCATCACCCAGGAAATGTCATCTGCACTGCAAAACACCTGTTAACATTATTTGGGAAGTTTCAGCAGACAGACCTATTTCTTTCTGATACCTGCTGAGTACATCACTACATTCACCAAGACTATTGTGAAGAGGTGCAGAAATGGTTGGGAAGATAGATTCTATCCTTTTTCAATGTTATTTTTTAGAAAGAAGTACACATAGAAATTATTAAGCATTTTTCCTTGGCTTTTATTACCAAGTTTGAAATTAATTTATTTTATTTTTAATTGAAATGTTCTTGCTAGCTTACTATTTATCGACATCAGCAGCATTAGAAACCATGTCATTAGAAACCATCAAGAAATACCTGTTAAAACTTGTGTTCCCAGTGCTGGCACTGCAGCAGCAAAACACAATGGTTTTTTAAATGGTTGTTTCTCTCTACTGCCTGTGGTTTGAAAGCTAGAAACAGAGGCACATGTTTTATCTTCCCAGAAAATAAATAATCTCATTGGGCATTGGCTTAATTATTTTTTCAGTGAAGGTCCTGTTGTTCCACACAGCCTCAGGTGTTACCTGCTAGGGTGTCCCAAATACAAGCATGAAATTTTCAATAAAAGTAAAAGGCCTGGGGGTTTATACCTTCATTTCTTCCATTCCTTTAGTATAGATATCCTTCCAAGTAAAAAAGTATAAAGAAAGTGGCCTGAAGATCACGGAAGTAACTGTAAAATCATATTATTGCTACTGCCCTTCTTTCCTTGTTTTCTCCATCCTCACTCTTGTTGCTCAAATTGATGTTCAATAATAGAACACAGAGAAAACTCACTTTGTTATTTCTTAGGTTGCATTTCTTTTTATTGTTACAAAAAATTATAACATAAAAGCAGCATAAAGAATGTTGCATTGTCTTTGAACCTTCACTATATGTGATCGTTTTACCAGGTCGTTTGATATATTAGAAGCTCTTTCCAGGAAAATGATGAAAAAGCAGCTCATGATTTTTGACATAAAAATCTATTTGTAGCAATCACCAAGAATTAGGAGAATTTTGCTGAGAATAAGGTAACTTGAACTTCTTTTTATAGTTTTAAAGTTGTTTTTTCTCATGTTTACTTAATCTAATTGAAATTTTGTAGGAAATTAATTCCATATATTTTGATTATACAAAAAGAGGAAAGTATTTTCTCTATAAAACCTTTCCTTACAAATGGTTATGATACCTGAACCTTACTGCTGATTATTTTGTTAGTGCAAATATAACCAAAAAGTCACATTGGTCCCATGATCACTACAGTGCTGGGTTTTATCTCAATTTTGAATTACTCTTGGTGATATTATTATAAGAACCTGATAACAATGCACAGTGTTAACATTGCTGTTTAGCTCTGCAAGAACACCTGTGTCCTTTGAGAAAGTGCGAGGCACGACTTCGTTTTTCAACACCGAAATAACGCTTCAGAAGGCTGAAGTAAATAAATATTTATAGTCAGCGCAGGACGTTGGAAACAATGTCCGTGTTACTGCCTGGTTCCGCCCCGCCCCGCCCCGCATAACGAGGCGCGTCCAGCTGCGCGGCTTTTCCTGCTGCTCCCGCTGCTGGGCTGCGAACGATGGCGCTGCAAGGGGCTGTGGCGGCTCAGGAACTCGTGTTCTATGTGAATGGGAGGAAGGTAAGTACAGGCCGGAGAGAGAGGGGCTGCAGTGCCTGAAGCAACCCCGAAGGGCATAGATTTGGCTAGCTCAGATTTATTCGAACGAGTGTAACCGAAGCCTCACACAAACCTCCAGAAGAAGGTTGGATTGTTGCATCCCATTTTGGCTAGCTCTGCTGTGTTTGGGAAAAAAAGCGTGTCAAAGTGAAACACACTTTCAGCTGGGTATCAAACTTGGCTGGTAAGCAAACCCCTTTTTTCACTTGGATGTCTGGCTTCTCATCTTTGATGGTGTCAGGTTTTCAGAGGCACAACTGAAAGCAAGACTTTAGTGCCCAAATTTGGACTATTGAGCATAAAGATAATATTGCAAGGACTGGTTGTTGATCCAAAGCAATTGTAAGGAACTAGCTGATTCTAAGTGACCAAATAAGAAATACTGTACTCGATCAAGAATGTGGATATTTCTTGTTGCTCTCTGTTGTCAGTTTCTTACAGCAAGTGAAGTTAATATAAATAAAACTAGAAAAGAAATCGCTACTGCTGATAGCCTTACAGACTTCCTCTAATGTTTATTCCAGTATGTCAGAGTGCCAGGGAGACTTTAAAATCTGCAAATCATTAGTTAGTTCTTTATGCTGTCTTTAAAGTTCTGCATTTTTATTTCTAGTGTGGCCGAAGGTCAGTTCCCTCAGTATAACATTTCACTGAGCAGCAGTTATTTTTAGTACTTGCAAGGTGCCCTAACGCTTCTTTTCTGGAAGTGTCTGTGTCTGAAAAGGAATTTCCAGGAGTCCAAACTCTCCTGTGGTGTTTGGCAATTAGTGTAGTACTATGAGAGAGAACCAGAAAAGGATTTTCTTCTGGCCTTGTGTGAATGTAGTCTGTGCCCTGAATTATGAAATGCCTTGGTTTCTTAATAAAACCTTGTTTTTACTTTCTTGCTGTAGATAATAGAGAAAAATGCTGATCCTGAACAAATGCTCTTGGCTTATCTGCGAAAGAGGCGTATCCTTTTCTTGTCTGTTCCCTAAAGTCACTCATGAAAGCCTTATTCAAGTAAAATTCTAAGAAAATTTAATTCAAGGTTTAATTACCAGATTAAGGAAGTTGTGATTCCTTTAAGATAAATCAACTGTACTAAATGATGTCACTTTCTTAATCCAAATATTCTTCAGTTGAGCTGCTGTATTTTTAGCCTGGCTTTTTAAAGAGATAAATTATGCCATCAGGCACAATGAATATGTGTCTATCTGTGTTCCTCCCCTCCCACCTCATCAAGAAGTCTAAAAACCTAGGGGTCAGTAACTTGACAGAATAAAAGTCCCCAGGCTTTGTAATAATCTCTCTCCTGGTAAAGGGGAGATCTTGTGATGAAAACCTGAGACTGATGGAATTTTGAGGGGCAAAAAGGCATCTTCCTTTTG